ACCATAATTGTATGCTTCTGGGAGATTATGGATATAGAAGTTATTAAAGATTTCTAACAAGTACAGTGGTTGCCATTTATAGTATTCACTGGATATAAGAATCAGCTGCTTATAGTAATCAAAATACTCTCGGACAAATGTGATCACTATAAGCGTCGGCCACTGTATATTTTAATAAAATAAAAATAGTCATTCAAATTACTAGAAAAGCATTAATTACCGGCCGAAGTTATAAGCTTTTAGTGAATAGTATTGTAAGGTTAAGGCAAACTCTTTCATTTCTTTTAAATAGTGACAACCTGTACCTTTTTTACTGTTATTTAATTTATTTTTAAATAGGCCCAATATAGTGTCTAATAAGAAAGCATAAGATATAAGCCATCCATTAATATTAAATGTACAAATGCCTGCAAATAAGTGCTTAGAAGCAGAAAAAGCAAGCAAGTTGTATATTTTATTTTACAAAATAACAAATTTTTAAATATTAATATTTACCGCTGAAACTATTTTTTATTATATTTACTGGTTCACCATCGATTAAGCCTCTACTATTCAAATCGTTTAATAATTCTTGCAGGTTATATAATTTTTGATCTTTTCTTCTTAACTTTTGCTGTAAAGTTCTTATTTTTTTTTTCAATAAAAGTTCACTGGTATAACTATTAACTATTTGAACTTCCTTATTATTAGTAGTAGGAACTATTTTATCAAAGTTTTCAACTTTATCATCTTCTAATTGAATGTCATCAGAAGTTCCAATATCATCATCAATTAATGGAATGTCATATTCTGCTAGATTTGAATTAAATATATTTTTTAATTGTCATTAGACATAAATTAAATTATGTTTTCATTTGTGTAGTTTAATTAAATTTAATAAGTACCTGCTGCATTTAAATTTGAATTTTCAATTTGAATGAGATTTCTTACAAGCGGTTTTCTTGGAATTTTGGACGCCTTTTGGTAATAAGAAGGAAATGCAGAGAACACTTTCGGCACAGCATCTTCTTTTAAAAATATGTTTTTATTATTACCCAGTTTTACTTGATAATTGTCATTAACAAAATGATCACTACATAAACGGCTCCATTTCGTTGGTGTAAACTTCTTTCTTTTAATAGCAGCAATCCATTTTTTATTTAGATCAACATTGGCTAAAGGAAATCTATAATATAATAGGTGGGTTAATCAATTATTAGAAATTTTTATATGGACGACTATCTAGGTGGTACAATGTCCAAAGACGGTGCGATAAAATTACGTGACAATCTAATTTCAGTTATGAATAAGGCTAGGTTCACATGAAGAACGTTGAACGCGCGTTTATCTAACGCGCGTTTTTAGTCAGTGTTCACATGAATTATAGATTTTACGCGTGAAGCGCGCGTATAACTATAGTCAGTCGTTTTTTTTATTCCGGCGAAGATGGACGTAGCAGAAGCTGTATGCTTATGGACCTTATATAGACGAATGCAGCGTCGTAGGCAGGGAAATAGAAAATACTGGGTTCATCCTATTTTAAAAAACAGACTAAGTACAAGCTTGTACATCACGCTGTATCCAAGTTTGAGAAATTATGAACAAAATTTTTTTAACTATTTCCGTATGTCGATTAAATCTTTTGATGACTTGTTGGAGCAAATCAAAGAAGAAATTGTGGCTGACGAAAATGCAATTAGATATTGTATTTCACCAGAAGAAAAGCTTATAATTACTTTGAGGTATGTTAATTTATTTATTTTAATAACAAGAACATAACATTACAGCATAATATAAGATAACAAGTGTAACATTTTTACTAACGAATATTTATTATATTTATTTATTATATCTTAATACATAATATTTTTAAACAACCATTTGCATACATTATATAATACAATTATTGATAAGTAAATTTTAGTCAAATAAATCAAGTATAGACTGTTCACTGCCTGTTTCACTAACATTTGTTGGTGTTGGTGATGGTTCAGGTGCAGAAGTATTTAGTTGATTATTTTTATCACCAAAATTGTGATCATAATGATACCCTTGTGTTGTGGTATTGTGTGGCGTAGAATTATAACCATAATTTGGATAGCCAAAGTTACTTGACCGATATTGTTGTCCATACATAGCATGTTGATATCCATCAGATGATGATGTCTGATTTTGTAAAATTAAATTGTACATATCAATTTTAAGTTTGAAACGTTTGTCTTCAGGAACTTTTTTAATTTCTTTTACTAGTGATAAACAAAATAGTTTATCTGCATCATCCTCATCTTTTTTTTTCGGGAACTTATCGTTGAGCCATACTTTTTTCCAATATGTTTGCGAAATGTTCATCAGCTGGATGTAATTTTATTTTTTTTTTTGTTCTTACGACAATCTCCTTTAGGACTTTTAAAATTATCATCTACATCATTTACGTTGTTAGTATTTTTAGTTATTTTTACATTTTCATCATCAGTTGAAAAACTGCTTTCGGTTACGTTATTTTCTACTGACCCTTGCAGAAACCGTAATCTTTCAAAATGTACGTAAGTAGATTTGTTTGATCTTCCTGAACCTGATTTCACCATTTTACATTTTTTGGCTTCTCTTACATAATTTTCTCGAAAGCTTTTCCACTTTTTTTTGTAAAGTTAATCCTAAATAAAATAATATAGTTATAATTATATAATTAGGCATAAGTTTTGATGAAAAAAATTAAAAATGGTGAGGAGGGAACTAAACTGCATTTGTTCCTAATTATATTATAATTAAAAAATAGTTTATAAAAATATAAAAATAATATGGTTTTTACAGATACCTAGCAAGTGGATGTTCCATTGGTGAATTGCATTATGAGTATTTGATGGGGAAAAGTACTGCTGCTGCTATAATCCACCAAGTATGTAAAGTCATTTGGAGAAAATTAAAAAACATTGTGATGTCTCAACCCACAAAGGAAAAATGGTTAGAAATTTCCAAAGGATTTGAACAAAATGCCAAGTTCCCTAATAGCATTGGGGCACTTGATTGCAAACATATACATTTGATACACCCTCAAAATTCAGGCTCATTTTATTATAACTATAAACATTTTTTTTTCGCTAGTATTAATGGCATTGTGTGACACTAATTATTGTTTTATTTGGGTGGATATTGGGGCATATGGAAAGAATAGCGATTCTGGGATTTTTAAAGAATCATCTTTGTATACTAAGCTCATTGAAAAAAACTTTGAATATTCCTAAACCAAGACCTATTATAGACAACGATGAAATTAAACTGCCATACGTCATAGTTGCTGATGAAGCGTTTGGTATGCAAGAAAACTTGATGAGACCATATGGTGGAAATTTATTATCGCACGAAACAAAAATTTATAATTACCGGCATACTTTAGCACGACGATATATATAATGTACCTTTGGTATTATGACCAATAAATGGCGTATATTGCATAGACCATTAGATGTGAATATTGAGTTTGCACAATATATTGTTAAAGCTATTTGTGTACTTCACAACTACGTCAGAATAAGAGATGAAAATAGTTATGAAGAAACGTTATTTACAGCACCCCTATCAAATTTAACAATTTCTACAACTGGACGTGCTATACGAGTAGCAGTAAACGTTAGAGTCAGGGTTGCCAATTATCCTGTAAAGAAAATCGGGACTTTTTTCCAATATAAGAACATTTTTTCAGGTTTTAATATATTATAAAGGCAATCATTTCTGGTATAACATATTATAATATAAGATATAAGTACATAACATAGATATATTTATTCTCTATATGTATTTATTTATATGTAAATATTACATTACATCTACAGCCGAGATATTTACAAATGTCAAAATATCATACTATCTAAAATATAGATAATACAAATTGATTATTGCTCTGCTCGATAACGAATGAAAGTTTTTTTAAAGTTTTATCGTTTATACAATCGTACAAAAATATATATTGATAATTTTCTTATATCCCGGAAAACATGTGTCTGAATGAACTTTGATCGGGACGCGGGAAAATAAGCTTAAAATCGTGAATGTCCCGCTAAAATCGGGAAGGTTGGTAACCCTGGTTAGAGTTAAATTTATGAATTATTTTAATAACGAAGGAAGTATAGAATGGCAAAACCGCATGATATAAATTGTAAAAATGTAGTATTAAATAATAATGTAATATTTTTAGTTCTTATTGTAAAATATTAATAAGAACATATTATTATAATGTATATTACATTGTTTTGAATGTGAATCGTTTTAAAATTATTCATTATTAAAATATGCATTTGTTTATGAGTTAAGTAATTAAAATAAAGTAATACATACCAAGAACTTTCTTTTTTTCCTGTAGCCTTCTTCAGAAAAAACGAGTACTATTTCTTCCCAGGCATTTCTTTTTATTATTTTATTTGAATAATTACGACGGGCCATGTCCCAGATCGAGGGCCTTTTTTCGATTTCATCGATGAAAAATTCATTATTGAATTCTTCCATTGTAGACGAAAAACGACGTAACGCCTTGAAAAACGCGTTGCAACTGAACACGTCAATGCAAACCTGTACAATGTTCAAACGCGCGTCAACTTGCGCTGACGTGCGTTGACAGGTTTTTTGCGTTGTCGCTGCGTTGAACGCGCGTTGCCATACAACGTGCGTTATTATGTGTACATTTAATAGCTATTAATAGTAATTGTAAACGCGCGTTTGGCTAATGCGCGTTTAAGGCTAGGTTCACATGGACGCGCGTATTTAGATAATCAGTGTTCCTGTACATCGTTCACATGGCGCGCGTCGATCGCGATAACAACGCAAGTTTCTATTTTCGCGCGAACACGCGCGTGACTCCGCGTATTGAAATTCCATATATCATTATCGGACCGTTCAATTGATACGCACGAAACAGCGATTTATTGGGCAATTACTTATTATAAAAAATATTTTAATTATTTTATGTGTTATTAATTTATTATATTATTTATATACAATTATATAATATTATTAACGTATACTGAAAAATGGAAGTCGAAACTGACTTACTTATTAGTGAAGTAGAAAAGAGGCCGGCCATTTGGTTCATGACGTCAAGTGAATATTCGAACAGAACTCTAAAAAGGAAAGCTTGGGAAGAATTGGTTCTCATATTTAGTCATGTTGAAGATACGGAAGACAAAAAAAAAAATTTGGGTAAGTAAAAATTAATTTTAAAATGTATTTATGATTTTAAAATTACTACTTAAGAAATTACAAAACTTTTTAAATCATGTTGTCTTGCCACTTTAATTTCCCTTCATTTATAAAGTAAGAGGTGAATTTTTTTCGAATTACATCTGTATCTTTTATAGCCCGTCCGGCGTGTGATGGATTTAGGTTTGTCAATGGTGCTGTATAAAGTGTATCCTCGTACTTGAAGCCGTCTCTTAACCTGACATAATTATGCAATACACAAATCGCTTTAACAATGTTTTCAGAAAAATCAATTTTTACATCGAGTGGTCGATGTAATATTCGCCACTTATTGCACATAATTCCGAATGTGCATTCCACAAAACGGCGTGCTAAAGTTAAACGATAGTTGAATATCTTTTTTTTCATATGATAAAATTTTACCTCCATAAGGCCTCATCAAATTTTCCGACATACCAAATGCTTCATCAGCCACTATTACATATGGAACTCTAATATCTCCATTGTCGGTTATAGGTCCGGGATCAGGAATATTTAACTTTTTTTCGGTTAGTTTTTTATACAAAGTAGATTCTTTATAAATTCCCGAGTCACTATCTGTACCAAAGCCTCCAATATCAATCCATATGAAGCAATAGTTTGAGTCACATAAAGCCATCAAAACCAGAGAAAAATAATGTTTGTAATTATAATAAATAGAACCGGTATCAGGAGGTTGGTTTATTCTAATATGCCTTCCATCTAAAGCTCCGATACAGTTTGGAAATTTTGCATGTTTTTTTAAATTAATTTGATATATCTATCCATTTCTGATTGTTAGGCTCCTTCATTACAATATTCTTCAGTTTTGTCCATATTACATGGCATACCTGGCGTATTATTCCTGTCAGCGTAGATATTCCAATTCTATAATTGTAATGTAACTCAGTTATTGAGCAGCCTGTTGACAAGTACCTACGAAATCAAAATAAAAGAATTTATTGCATTAATAACATTATTTTGTATTGTTAGGTAAAATAAAAAAAAATAAAATATTTAATGAATTTTTATTTTTATTTGTTTTAGTTGTACATATTTTTTCTTAACACGCCATGATAGTATCATGTGATGCATCAGTAATGTGAATTTTACGTAAACAAAACTTTTACACACAAAATTATAAAATTCAGGAAACCCCCAACATTATTAATATTTTTCGTTTTAAGATTAGAATTACAGAAGAAATGGAAAAGCCTTCGAGATGGCTACGTCAAGGAACTAAAAAAAATAAAAAATGTGAAATCTGGATCGGCAGCTCCCGTAAAGTCATCGTACTTATTTTTTAGGAGGTTACAATTTCTGCAACCAACTGTTCACAAAAATACAACAGAAAGTAACTTTGAAACCGATTTAAACTACGACGAAAATACAGAAACTGAAAACCCGGATCAAGAGACCTGTTTTAAAACTCCAAACAAGGCAGACAAAAATTCAAATTATCAGCAACAAAGAAAAAAAATTAAGCTCCATCCAGCGGACGAACATTTCGCTAATATTATTGAGAAAAGTTTAAATAGTAGAAATATCCTCGAGAAAAAAGAAGAAGATGAAGATAAATTATTTTGTTTGTCTTTATACAAAGAAATAAAAAAAGTACCTTAAGCCATGCGTTTGAAAACGAAAATAGAAATTTATAATTTAATTTTACAAAAACAAGCTGTACAACAAACACACCTTCCAAGTTTTATAGTATCGCCTCAATCTCACCATGCATCCTCATTCGTCCAACCATTTACTCCACCACAATATCCTCAATATTCTGATACAAATAATTATTCAAATGCACCGCATGGTACGCGAAAGGACTATGACCACATACTAAGCAATCAAAATAGAGTACCTACAAATTATATGACTGTTCCAAACGAAATGCGTCAACCATACCAAAATATTGAACCTCCAGGTACTCCATCGCCATTGTCTGGTATTACTGAAAATTCTCAAGGGTCATCTGACCTCGATTTATTTGAATGAAGATAAACTTTATAAAAAGTAAAATTGTTTTTTTGTTTTTATTACGATTAAATGTTATGAAAAGTTGATTTTTTATTACTATTTGTTTACTTTTTATTTATTTTTTAAAGCTATGTTTGGAAAACATTTTTCAGTTAAAAAAGTTAATTATTTTATTTTGTTCAGTTTCAATACATAAAATTATTATTTAGAAATTGTTTTTTTTATTTGTATGAATAATAATTTAAATGGACTTACCTCAAAGTAACAATAAGTTTTTCTTGTGGTGAAATACAGTATCTTACAGCTTGTTCATTTGCTTCCAATTCGTTTTTAATTAAATCTAACAGGTCATCAAATGATTTGATTGACATTCGAAAATAATTGAAAAATTTTTCGTCATGATCCCTAAGTTTCGGGTATAAGGTAATATATTGACTTGAAGAAAGTCTAGTTTTTAAAATTGGATGGACCCAATATTTTCTTTCTTCTTTTTGTCTTCGTCTTCTTATCCTTCGGTGGACAGCCCACAAACACACAGCATCGATCTCATCCATACTCGACGACAGTCTGAACTGTACTATATCATTTTAAATATAGTTTTTGACTAGAACATTCTCATACAACGCGCGTGACACGCAGCCATCTGAACGGTGAACGCGCGTTTTGTGGCGGTCTAACGCGCGTATACGCGCGTCCATGTGAACCTAGCCTAACACCTCTCATGTGAACCTAGCCTAAAGCCGGTTTAGAACTGCGTAAATAGTTATTTAATGATCCGGAGTTAATAGTCAATGTGCACTCCGATAACAATAATACAAGAGCTATGGGCGAGCTAATAACAAAAATACTAGGTCTGCATTGGAAATCGGATGATAATATGTTATTCTGCACGGTACAGCAGGTAGAGATCAATGCCCCGATAACTAAACGGAAAATATTATCCGAAATCGCAACAATATTTGATCCTTAAAGGTATGTACACACGAGAGCATTTTTGTGCGTCGCACATCGCGAGCATGTGAGCATGCGTGAGCATTCGTATGAATTTTGTTTGTTTGTGTGTACAAAATGTGCGACGCATACTATGCATCGAACAATATTTACCCATTCGCTCCTATTCCAGCTTTCCTATCAGTTGTTTTTCAGTAGTCGATAATTTTTTTTAATTTATACTGAGTGAAGTACGTACCTATGTTAAATCACATTAAAAATTAAATTAAAGCGTCTTTAATTGATTTAATTTAACAATAGTTTCAAGTTGTAGTAAATAATGAGTGACCATCTTCAAGTGTGTGCTGCAGCTTTTATAGTAATGCATGAATTGATTAAAAAAAAAAATAAAAAGAATCGACGTGATCGCCGCTGGTGGATTTCAAAAATGTACAAGAACAATACAGATAGAGGATTAAATTTGCTGAATGATATGCAGTTTGATGAAAATATTTTGCATTTTCAAAATTTCACTCGTATGTCTTCTGAAGATTTTGAACTTTTAATAAACCTCATTGGTCCAAAAGTAGTAAAGCAAGACACAAATATGAGACCTGCGGTAACTGTGAAAATAAGACTAGCGGTAACTTTGAGATTTCTTGCCACGGGTGATTCATATACAAGCTTACAGTACCTATTTAAAATATCCAAACAGATCATTTCAAAAATAATCCAGAAGTTTGTGTGGCTCTTATCGAGGTGTTGAAAACATATGTAAAGGTAATACAATTTATAGTTATTTATAAATATAATTGAGCTATAACTTTGTATATTTAAAAAAAAAAGTAGTTGATAAAAATCAATAAAAATCAAATAAAAATTGCAACTTGAATAATAATTATAATAATAATAGACCATTAAAAAAAAGTAAACATAACTTTTAACAATTCTGATAGAACCTATAGAAAATGAGAAAAAAATAATAAAATAAAAATTTCAACTTGAAAAAAAATCATAAAATATTGTTATTAAAAGAAATACCAAATATACCTACTATTATACATCAATTTGTATCTGAAAAAGTCGTGTAGTAGTTGCTCATACTACTCATATCACCTTCATTACTACATCCATCTGATGGGTCTATTAGTGAAGATGCTGATGATAGTGGATGTAGTGAAGTTGATAGATTGGTTGGACTAGAATGTGCTTGTAAATTAACCGTAGGTAACATAGAATTGGTCCATTGAGAAGTTGGGTCAACGAAATCATATTTACCCATATCAGCGTCAAATAGTAAATTATTTATGTAATGTTGGATTAATGCTCTAGTTTTTGGTGTATAATTTCTTATTTTATTCCCAACATATAAACCATATGTAGTGCATTCATCATGTTGTGAATTCATGTTTGATGCAGATTTTTTTTAAAATTGAAAAAGCTTCTTCAATTCTAGGATCTGACTCTGCAACTCTTTTTTTTTTTATCTTTTTGGTGTTGAACTGGGCGAATAAAATTCTGATCAAAATTTGAATGTGCCTGTGATTGATATGTACCTGGTGACGAAGTTGATGGCGTATGTACTAAATTTTGATCGTTTTCTTCAGATATTACAACCGAAGTATTTAGTTGGTCATCATTTGACTTTAATTGGTTAAAATTATCTGTTGGGTGTACATCGGTGTCAGTAATCGGCTAAAAATAATGAAAAAAAAAAACCAATTAATTATAACAAAAAGAAAATAATATATTTTTTTTAAACTTGTTTGTTTTTAAATCATTACTTAATATATAAATATACAAATAAGTATTTTTTACTAGACGGATATTATTGATTATACACAATGAGATTTTCAAAATATTTAGATTACTGTAATAGATAACTCAATTTTGCGCTTATATGTTAGAATAAATTTTATAATTTAAAATTATGGCAATTTAAAAGTTAGTTAATATTTTTTGAGTTTTGGGATTCGAAAACACTCACGCTCTGCCTTTTATTTTTTTAAGCAAGAATTGTTTTTTTTAGATGCCTTCTTCACCAGCTGAGTGGACAATTATTTCCGAACGATTTGAACAGTTGTGGAATTACCCTAATTGTCTTGGATCGATGGATGGAAAACATGTTGTTATACAGTCTCCCATTAAAAGTGGGAGCGAATATTTCAACTACAAGTCTTTCTTTAGCATTGTTTTATTCGCATTGGTTGACGCGGATTATAATTTTATTTTTGTTGATGTCGGATGCCAAGGTAGAATATCTGACGGAGGTGTTTTCAAAAATAGTATGTTACATAAAAAAACTAGAATCGGGAAATATGAATTTACCACCACCAAAGCCTTTGCCCGGAAAAAATAAGGAGGTTCCTTATGTTATTTTAGCCGACGAAGCTTTTGCGTTGACAAAAAATATAATGAAACCATACTCAGGAGTACACAATATTGGATCCAAAGAAAGAGTATTTAATTACAGATTAAGTCAGGCGCGCAGAACAGTTGAGAATGCTTTTGAAATATCATCCGCAGTTTTTCGTGTTCTGAGAAAGCCATTATTATTGGAACCTGAAAAAGCGGAATTGGTGGTAATGACAATTGTGTATTTACACAACTTCTTAAGGAAAAGTAAATCATCCCGAAATATATACACTCCCCCAGGATCATTTGATACCGAATTAGAAGGCCAAGTTAAACAAGGAAGTTGGAGACAGGAAGATACTCCTTTATCGTCACTACATAATATTAGACTCATTCCTCGGAGACCCCCAATCAACGCTCAAGAAATAAGAGAAGAATATGCAGATTATTTTTTAACAAATGGAAATTTACCGTGGCAAAATAATGTTTAGATTTTAAATAATATTTGTAGTATAATATGTTAATTAAAAAATATATAACTATTCTATATTTTCTTTTGATTTATTTGAGTATAAATTGTGTGCCAATATTTTTTTAAAAAATAATAAATATTACGATTTTAATTATCAGTTGACAGTGTATTTGTAGTTCGTTGTTTAACAGTTCAGTCTATATTTATTATTTTTATTGAAAAATACATGTGTACATATTACCATTGATTATAAATACTAGTATGATATTGATGTGTAGTAATGATATTACTTAATAGTATGGTGTTAATAGTGTCGTAGAGCTATTTTTAAATTGGTAAATTTTTATTTAATTTTTAAACGTTTATATTTATATTTAATCTAAATCTGATAGTAATTTATTGACATTTGCTATTTGGCGTCAGACGTTAATAATAATTGACTGCAAGTCTTAGTAGATATAGTTCAATAGATATTAAAATTATTTTCTTTTTCTATCAAACATAGAAATAATACAAGTTTTTTATAAATTAATATTTCAATCAGATATTTTTAATCCCGCATATTTATATACATTGTACTATTGTAGTAAATATTGAAAAAACTTACATTTTCGCTACTAATTGTGCTCCTTGGGTCATCACGATCTCTTAAAAATGCCACCATTGATTCATATTTGAACCATTTTGATTGGTAAATTTCGTTGGCTCCTTAAATATATATTCACATTTCACATTTTTTTTAATTAATTGGTGATAAATGATGATAATTAAAGCGAATAAAATAATAATTTTTATCAATTTGGACTTTTAAAAAGTATCTTTTACAACACAATATAATATAGGTATTATTAAGAATTGAAATAAATAGATATAAAAATTTTGATTCTTACCTTTTCCAGTCCCAATGCTATTTTTTATTTTTGCCTTTTCTCGGCGAAATGATCCTTGTAAACTAAGCATTTTCTTTTTTACCTCTTCGACGTCTTTATTTAGTTTTTTCGAAATAGAACACCACGCATCGAATTTCGCATTTTTGAAAAAATACGATGGATTTTGTGGGTCCCATAGCACTTCATTAAGTCGATATTCTTCAATTAATTCAAAACATAATTTGCTATCCCAGTCCATTTTTGTCAAAGAAAAATGTACTTAACTAACTAAAATAGTTTTATAGCTTTATTTGTATGAAATAATAAATATTAATTCTCACTGGCATACGACGCACAACACAAAACCAAAATAACCGTCCACACGATAACTCGAATGCGCGCGGCGTTTCTTTGAGCAAAGCTAAAATACCGACAGTGATCGGTTCGCCATGCGACCTGTTCGTCGAACGTTGACGAATGGATCCGAATGCTCACGCACAAGTCTACACGCTCGCACGCGAACATGTGTGAGCATTCGTCACTTTTATTCGATCGTGTGTACGCGCCTTAACACGTTGACTGCCATGCGACCGCCGGCGGTCGCACCTTTGTATTATTTACACGCCATATGACCGCGGGCTGCCATAAACACACTTATTTGTAAAGGGGAATATTTTTCGTGGCGTTAAAGTTATGAAGATAATGTTTAAATGATGGTTATAAAAGAAAATTTCGCGTAAAATGATATATTATTCGCCGCAAACCGATTATTTTATATACATTTATAATTATACGTAAAATATCACTACAATAAGCATATAAAAAAAACTCAATCACTTTTTTTATTCAAATAATATGTTTCCAATTCCAATTCTTAAATATAAACATTATAGAAATTATAAATTTAATACAAAACATAATTATCGAGACATATTTATAAATAATATATGTAAAAAATAACTAAAATCTGTGTGATGCAGATTGAAACAACTTATACATGTATAAGATTTACATGGTGCACAGAATGTAGTTATTTTTTTTACTTCCTTCGATGCCTGTTTCGATCCAACTATTACTGTTCTTCTTTGATAGCAGTGGAAACATCTCTTTCTAATTTTTCTATTTCTACCACATTTTTCTGTTGTTTCTTGAAATATGTGTTTGCTAACTCTTGCTGGTTGAACTTCTTGTGGTCCTTGATTGTCTAATCCGAATATTGTATCAACTAATGTTTCTCGAAATTGTGTTATCTTCATTTTTTATCAGAATTAATTGTATTGTAAACTATTAAAGCATTTACCATAGTAGTTTCAAACAGTATTTCTGTCGCCACCTTATGGTACCAACGTATAAACTTACGAACAGCTGTACTATAGCTAGACAGTTGATCCGATAGATCAATTCCCGCTTTTCCGGAGTTGTAGTCGACAATTATCTTAGGCTTAACTATCGATTCTTTTTTTTGTTCTTTTTTCCTGTGTCAATCATATCAATATTATGTTTTGTCGACAATATAGTTACCTCCCTTTTATCACGCCATTTCGCAACAATAATACCGTCTGAATTTTCCTTTCCGATTATTTCCCCGGGACTTAACTTTTTTTTTGTTATTTCAGGTAATTTTACTCTATTTGATCGCAGAGTTCCAACTAGGTGTGTATCATTAGTTAAAAGTTCGTTTGCAAGTGTAATTGAAGTGTAAAAATTATCCGTGACCATTATACGTCCCATGTTTCAATAGTTACAGTTAAATAGTTAAATTAGTTACTAGTTATTCAAATTAGTTAAAAAATTCCTAATGTCAACTTTTTAATTTATTACTTCCGCAATAAAATATAGGTGTATATAAAATAACAAAATATATTATATTTTTTATTTTATAAATTAGTTTTTCAGTATAACAGTAGCTGACTGTATGCAGGAATTAATGGATAGAGGTGTAAAAAAATTTATAGATTGTAAACCTACAGTAAATTTTATTAAAAAAATTAATAGTTTGGTTGATGCAATGAATTCAAATACAGAAAAATCTGCAAAATTATCCAAATTCACATAGCAATAAAGTATATTTACAACTTTGGGGTTAGCAGTATAATAAATTTATTCGGTTATTGTTAAGGTTCTCAGAGATTTTATAAGCTACCTGGAAGAATGAGAACAATAATAAGCCAAGATAAACAATTTAGCTTTACAAGCCAAAGTGAAAGAGGATTAACTGTCTCTATAAAAAGTACATTAGAATTAATAGATGTTGTTGTTTTTAAAGTAACGTATATCGCCAATTAATTTACTGTCTGGGAGTGATTGATTTATTCCGAATTTTTGTTTGATCTTATAATTGATTCCTTCTTTAAAATTATAATGTTTAGAAATTTCGGAAACAATGTGATACTCAGGATTAGTATCCAATAAATTTTCTGATGTTTCTTTTATATTATTATTAGTGATTAATTTGGTACTTATGTCTTTAATAAAGTTTTCATACGTATTTTCTATGATTTCATTTATTGTGTACATTCTAGTAAGAGCGTCAGCTTTGTTGGTAGAGCCTGCTTTGTATTGTATGGAAAAATTGTATTCTAACAAATAATATTTCCATCTGGCTAATCTAGATAAAGGATTTTTTCAAGTTCATTAAATAAACTAATAGTTGGTGATCAGTTATGATAATGAAATGAGTATCTAGTAAATAATGTTTAAAAAATTTAACTCCAAAAATAATTCCTAAAAGTTCAGTCTCTATAGTAGAGTAGTTACTTTCAGCTTTATTTAATGTTCTACTCGCATAGCCTACGGGGAAGTCTTTTCCATCGTGTATTTGTGATAGGATAGCACCGAGTGCTTTACCTGATGCGTCAGTAGTGAGATAAAATTTCTTTTCGAAATCTGGGTATTTTAATATTGGATGTTTACAAAGTGCTGTTCGGAGCGTATCGAATGACCTTTGGCATTCTTCAGTCCAATTAAATTTTACGTCTTTGCATAATAATGTTGTTAACGGTTTAGCGATAGCGCTATAATTTTGTATGAATTTCCGATAGTACCCACTTAAGCCAAGAAATGATTTAATTTGTTTTACGTTTTTTGGAGGAGGATAATTAAGTACAGCTTGAATTTTTGTTTCGTCGGGTTTAATTCCCTCACTTGTTATTTTATGACCGAGATATAAAATTTCCCGTTTTAGAAAATTACATTTGTGTGGTTCGATTTTTAAATTATGTGATTTGAGTCTACTAAAAACTTCTGATAACTTATTTGCGTGTTCGTTTAAAGATCTTGAAAATATTAGAATGTCATCTAGGTAAACCATTACTTTAAGTGGTGTTAGACCTGAAAGAACGTTGGTCATTAATTTTTGGAAAATTGCGGGACTTTGTTTCATTCCCATTGTCATTCTTTTGAATTCCCAGTGACCTTCAAGCGTACTAAAGGCTGTAAATTCGCGTGAGTCTTGTGAAAGAGGTATTTGGTAAAATCCTTGTGTTAAATCAATAACAGAAAACATTGTACAATTACCTAGTCTATCTAACATTTTATTTATTTGTCTATTTATTTCCGTTTGTTGAGAAAATGGTAACCTAAATTGTCTCTGATGTATTGGTTTTTTAGCGTCTGGTTTTAACTTAATTGAATGCTCTATAGTATTAGTACATGTTAATTTATCACCTTCTAGAAAAAATACGTCGGAGTATTTCTCGCATATATTTATTATAGTCTCCTTTTCGTTTTTCGTCATGTGATCTACTTTTATTAGTTTCTTTATTTTGTCTATTCTGTTATTGTTATCCATTTCTATGTTAAATGTTAATATTTCGTAATCATTTTCGTTATTATATATTAATTTATTTATTTCGTTATCTGTAAATTTTTTATTTGCTTCGGATATATTTAAGATACTAATTATGGCATAACCGTCTTTTACGTGTGTTAAACTTTCGCTACAGAGCAAATCTTGCGATAATTCTTGTTTTTGTATTAAAATGCATTTATTATGTACTTCTGTGTTTTTTATTGGGATTTTGATTATGGACTCTGAACGTGCATTTATTGTGTAACAATTTTTTATTGTTTCTTTATTATCATGATTTGTTAAGACTAATGTATTATTCGCGATATCTATTATTGCTTTAGATTCGATTAAAAATACTTTTCCTAATATTCCGTGTTTTAATAAAGGAAATTGTGGTCCTACGACTTCGAATGTTACGTTTATTTCTTCGTTATTGATTATAATTGGAATATTTATTCGACCTATTGTATGTATTAGTTGTTGACTAATACCGCGTATGTATACTTTATTGGTTTCGTCGATGAATAAGTCATTTTTTAAAAATTGTAATTTAATGATATTAATATCTGCCCCAGTATCGACGAGGAGATGTAATTCATCAATGTTACATGCGCTAGATTTACATTTTATATGATTATCGATTATTGTTGATAGGATGTGAAAACAGTTTCGTATTGATTGTTCGTTATCGGTGTTTCGTTGTAATTCTCGGTCGCGCATTGAATTTGTTGTACCGTACGCGGCGCGCGTTGCGAGTACGGTGTGGCATTTCCCGAATTAGTATATTGACGTGCGGCGTCTTTTTGTCTAGAGTAGCAAACGTCCATCGAATGACCTCGTTTGCCACAATAAGAACACATTATTACTTCGCTTCGTATGGGAGGCCTATTGTTATTATTAGTATTAATCAATTCATTGCATTGAGGTGGTTGATTATTATAATTATGGTTATTAAATTGTTGCTGTTGCGTGTTTTTTGGAAAAAATTCGCGATTATTAAAATTGTTATTAAATCGTGGATTAAAGTTTCTTTGATTATGATTTCGTTGTTGTGCGGGATGACTGTTATAGTTTTGATTAATAGGTATATTTAAATTAGTTTTGCTTTTTTTGTGTTAAATTAGTGATGAAGTTATCTCTATCTATGTCTTCTGCTAAATCGAGCTCTTCTTGTAAAGCAATTGATTTTGCTTGTTCAAGTGTTTTTGGGTCTCTACTACGTAATGTGGTTCTAATTGGTTTGATAAATCCCTTTATGTATAATGCTAGAGTTTGCTCAGCTAACTGTTTTGTTATTGCTTTTGCATCGTTTTCGTTTTTTCCTGTTGTATATAAATTCGCGAGTTGATAGTATAATTTTTCTAGCCTATCTGTGTATGATTTAACGTTTTCGTTTTCGTTCATTTTAATTGAATTTATTTGTAATTGTAACGCGGATGAAGAATAATGAGAAGCATATGCTTCTTCTA